ACTTTTATTAACAACACTTATATCAAGAGACCACAGTCTCCCTCACTTGTTACTTTTTTTCTTTGATATAAACTTCTTGTATTTTTGCAAATAAATATAAGAAATACCTACCTATAAAGTTAAAGGCAAGAAAACTTTATTAGGAAAAAGAACCTATAAAAAAAACACTCTCTTCTTTTCCTTCAAAAATTTAAGACTCTAGAAAAGACTGGCACAGTTTTTGAAACTCTTCTCTCATTTTTCTCAAGCTTCCTTTTATCTTTTCAAGTGTGTAAACTTTTTTCTGGTTTTTCTAAGGAATTTTGCCTATCTCAGTTTGACTCTGAATTTCTGGTTACACTATAATCCTTGAATGGTGATTGGCTCAAATTTAGGACTGGTTGATCTATATGTAGCAAAAAATATAAACAAGATACATAACTACTACATGTCCTATCTCGTATAATACAAAACCTGATGATGCAATTGGATATAGTGAAAAGAGCAAGGTGATGAGGTGCTTTTTTTGTTAAAGAAGTATTATGATGTTCCCCCCTTCCCTCTTGAACTGGTTTATGAAGTTTTATATTTTTGTTATAAAAGCTTTTATTTAAAGTAACTTAAGTATTATTTTAAAGATACTTTTATTTTATTTTCAATTTTTAAAATTTGCTTTTTTTTTTTAATTTTAATTAATATAATAATATAATAAAGTGATATAATTAATGCCATAATTCAATTATGTTATAATTGAATTTATAAGAAGATAAAACAATACTTAAAATCTTTTCTGATTACTTAACATTATTTAATTATTTATATTGATAAAAAAATTTTTTTAAACATTGATCAAATAATTATTGTAGACAAGTTATTATTTAATTAATTGTAGTTACATATGAAAAAAAAAGTTTTTTTTCAATATACATATTATGTAATAAACTATACATATTGCTGAAATTTGTAGATCCTTGACACAATTGATGCAATTATTTGATACAATTAATTGAGTAACTATTAAAACATATAAATAATTGAGTCATGATGCAATTATTTTTAAGCATTTTTTGGAAATTGAGTCAACAGCAAATAATTTATATCACATGTATATAATAAATATACAAATAATGTTTAATAACAATAATAATTAGTTAATGGTAATTTTAGTATTAATATTTTTAATAAAACTTAAAATAAAATAATTAATATTATACAATATACCATATATTTTTTATATCCTAATAATTACATATGACATATTATCATATTTAATTTAAATAGAAATCAAAAAGTTGACATTTAAATATTTTTAAAATTTATTTTTGTTTCAAGAAAGTTAAAATAAACAAGTATGATTAATTTTGAATTAAAAAAAATTCCTTGTTGTAAATAAAAATCTTTGATTTTTTAATACATTTGAACAATAGCAATAATAATATTATTTAAAACATTTTTTACTATTATGTGTACTAAAAAAATTAAGAAAGATCATTATCAAGTTAATTTTGCTAAAAACCACAATAATAAATATTGTTCATTGATAAATTAGAAATAAAGTCAATTTAACTAAATTCAAAATTCAATAAAATAAAGGTCTCACGAATTCCACAAGTATATTATTTTCGCGAATAATCTGATAAAAAGACTGATGATTGTTTTGTTGATTTCAAAGGTACGACTTTTCAACAATATACAGTATATAATCAATCGTATTTGTCTATTCTGGGAAGTGGATACTTTAGAAAGCAGAGATGTTCCCCGTGCATTACTCGTGCAGCATACTCACCGCAGCTGTGCAGGTGCGTATACAATGATGAAATTTACGAATTATACATACTGTATGTATGCCATCATATTGTAATGGTGGGAAACGGCGAGTATGTCGCTTGCACACAGGTCTGGTCGCGGCACGTCACACAGTAGCTAAGTAGGTCCACATTGCACTATTTAGCTGTCGCCACTAACACTATCTTCTTCTTATCTTGTAGGCGAAAGAGGCGATTTAATTTGACCGATCTTTGTCAGTAGTCACGTGATCACGGACTAAACGAAAAAAAAAAAAAAAAAGGAACACACAAGGATTTATCACACAGATAAAGTTTATGCTCTAAATGAGCATATTTTTATACTTTGTTGTTGCGAAAGCTAAGTATATTTATACATGTAATTATCCCAATTATCCTCTTTATCCTAATTATCCTAATTATCCAATTAACCTCTTTATCCCAATTATTCTCTTTATCCCACTTATTTTTTTTATCGCGATATCCGATATAGAATCGCGTGGGAAATCACTCCCTTTTTCCTATAACAATATAATTGGGTCACGTAACGAACTTCGAGAATTCTTCGAAATCTAGTAATATCTCGCGAAACAAATATTGCTTATACTTAAATTTTATATGACAATATAGATTGTTTATTAATAATCTTCTAAAATCTATAAATTTTCTTTGGAAAATGAAAATCACGCAATTACTTTATTACAGAAGCATAAAGACATTTTTCTGTCATACAGTACTTTTACCATTCGTACTGTTTAAGCTTGTGATATTTTATGATTCTACTATAAATTTTGTCACTGCCAAACAATCCATTATTCTCGCCCGGATCTAAAAACAAAGAACCCATGGGAATGTGATGTGTACACATCACCCGTCCTCAGTTGGAGAATATTTCTTGGTCACATCAACAAAATCACACTACCATCGTACCATTGTGTAAAAGTTCTTGAACTTTGATATTGCAAGGTGACAGCAGAAAAGAACATAGTGAGATAGATATTTTTACTGTTTTGGACCTACCATGTTTTCTTATCGAAGATTATGCAAGGTATTAGATTGCTGCTTCTTTCACCAAGTCATCCCTTTCCGCCGACATTTCTTTCAATTCTTTTAATATCAATTGTAACCTTGGTATTGTGTTCTAACGCTTATTTTTTTTATCCTGAAAACAAATTTTTATTAAGTAGCCGTTTTATTAGGATTCATTATCAAACCGTTCTTGTGATTTAATCCGTTACAAGATTTTCAATTAGTGTCAAGTCTACTACTGTATATCAAATTTGATCGTGTGATAACAAGAGCACAAACTACAAACTATTTATTTATACTGTAGTTATTACAGTATATTTAGGTTAATTGATTGTTTTTTTATCTAATGTATTAAGATATACAGAGTTGCTTCAAAAAATCATCAAAGGAATTATACTTTTTGTGTCTGATACTGTATATAATATTAAAAAAAATGGTTTAATAGACCAATAACTAAAAATAAAATAATTACATTCGTTACTCTAGTTAGTATCTTCAAACTAAATAAAAATTAAGTTCGAGGGCTAATTCTAACTTTCAATTCTGTACAGGTAGTAGCTATTTGACTAAAAGTTTTCAATGGTTCGTGCTCATTCACTAACTCAACATTATAGTTTTTATATACTGAAACCATTAATAAAAGATTTGCGATTGTTGCCAGATTTTTTCCAGGACATATACGTTTACCTCCACCAAACGGCATCCAAGCAGATCTATCGTTATCACCATCATTTTTATAAAACCTGTCCGGATCAAAAATCTTGGGATTACCCCAAGACTCAGGGTGATAATGCGCTCCTTCAAAATTTATTTGAAAATCTGTACCGGCTGGCCAAATATATCCACCAACTTCACACTCAGTAATAGTGTGACGAAATACAAAAGGTATCGGTGATACTAAACGGCTAGCTTCCTTAATTATAGCTTCACAATATTTTAGTTTTCTGAGATTGTCGCATGATAAGTAAGACTTATCAGAGGATTTAGATATAATAGAATCGATTTCCGAAAGCATTTTTTCTTTTACATTAGGATGTTTACAAAGGTAGTAGGTTATGAAACAGAATAAGTTTGCACTCTATATTATGGTAAAATAGAGTTAAATACGAAGTCAATATTAAAAATATCATAAATTTAAATAAATTTAAAGAGAAAATTAATACTCACAGTATTTGATCCACCCAAAAAAGCATCTACCAAATTCATTCTTATGTCCAAATCTGTCATAGGATTAAAATTTTCTCCTTCAGCAACAGTTTCTGTTGTAATTAAGGAAGTAAGCATATCTGTTTGCGCCCTTGTTTCTGGCCTTTCTTCTATTTCAATTCTTCGCTTTTTAATGATGCTATCCAATTTTTCAAACAGGTAATCACGGTTATTTGAATAATCTTTTGATTTGCCTCTGAGTATTGGAATGTAATTCCTAGCAAAGGGGCTAAAGAACGAGAAAAACAAGAGACTTTCAAGAAATTTTACGCATGCATTGACAAAGTTGTTTCCATCCTCGACTAACGCATCAGGATGTTCGGACTTGTTAATGCTTAGTGTATTATAATAGGATGCAATTGAATACGTGCGTTTTCCAGTGGAAAGTACTGAAGTAACGTCATTGATAAATCCATGGAACCATGCTGAAAAATCGGTTTCTAATGTCCAATTGTTATTATCATCATTATCCTTCTTTGAAGTATTTTGCTTTCCAAGGGATTTCCAGTAATCATCCATTTCTTCGTATATTTTATGTATAGTTATTATTGATGCATCAATAAATTTAGATGATAATACATCGGTAAAGAACTGTCTATTACGATTCCATCTATTCTGATCTTCATTAAAGAAAAGTCCATGGTTGTGCATTCCTAATTCAACTGAACCTGGAGAATCTGGAAGTCTCTGGAAAAATTGCGCAGGAGCACAAAGTTTTTTAATATAGTCTGGCCGTGAAAGAATTATATATCTGCGATCGAGCATCAGCTCACAAATATCTCCATATTTTTGTTGACATTCTTGATAAAATTTCTTTATATCGGTGCCTTGGTTATGTGCGTTTCCAATAAATGGTAAAGGAAGTGGACCAGGGAGTGGGTTGGGACGAGTATAGTATTTGTAATAGAAGTTGAATATGTAGGTAGAGATAAAAGTGGCGAAAATTAAAATTAATAAATCCACGGTACTAACGGGTTTAATGGATTCGAAAATACTTTGAATAGACATCTTTATTTTTTTCTGTGTACTAGGAATTAAAAAGATCTATTTTATAATGAATTTTTTGTTCATTTATGCTTTTTAGTCATTATGATATAAAAGGTTATGTTAAGAAAAAACTTTAACTACGCATAATGTATGCATGTACGACGGGGTATCAAGTCCGTCTTATTTTTTAGCGATTTAACCTTACATGGTCCTATTATCTCATTCGTCTAACCTTTCTAACCTTTCACCTTTTCTCTATTGGATTTATTTTGAGCAATGCATTGAAAAAATTCTTTTTACAAAGGATTTGGGTAATTTATCGGATTTGATTTATCGCGGAAATCAGACCTTGTGAAAATTTTGTGCCTAGAAACTCCATATACTGTATTTTGTAATCTTTCTCTTCCGATTGAAAAGGAACAAAGACCCTTCAAAAAAAAAATGCGCATGAAAAAAGAATAAAGGAAACAAAGCACTTTATTTAATAAAAATAAGAACGTACTTATTGTAACGAAGTCACATGTACAGTACACTCTTGGAATGAAGATCGACCAAACGACGTGACAAATTTGTACTGGAGTATCGCGAAATGCTAATATAAAATCATTATGTAATTAGAATCATAACCTTTTACAAAGCCCCCATTAGTTACGCCATTTTCTTTACAGTGTTCCTTCTGCCTCTATTATTTTTTAATGATCTTTTAATGTAAAAAGAGTCCAATGAAAAATAAATAAAGGAAGTCAAGTGCAATTGGCAATAATTACATTAATATTCGTTTCATTTAACAATGGATTTGCCTATTGTTTATCTCACTAGACAAAATCTAATAACAATAAAATATATATACAGATAATTAGCTGTATACTGTATGACCAGTTAGTATTTTTATATTGGTATGACAGAAAAGAATTTAGAATATTATATACTGTATCTTGTTCAGTCGTTAACTCAATATACGGTACGGTTTATGGTTAAGCTTAAATTTTTAATTTTATTAACTAAAAAATTACATTTCAAACTTATACAGTAAATTATCAATTAATCAATAATAGATCTATGTGATGGTTTTACGGTATTTACCAATCAATTTTTACTTATAATCTGAAAATAATAATTAATAGTTATATTCTCAATTAGATATAATAATATTATGTCACACGGATTTTATTTCTTTTTTAAACCAACAAAATCTTGCTCAATATACTTTATTTATTATCAATGTTTATAAACATTTCATTACAACTTTACTTTATTGTTAAATGCTAGTGTACTCTAAACTAACTCTCTTTTACATGCTATCGAACGGTGCATGTGTTTATACATGTGCCTATTGTTTACATGTTTCTAAATTTTCCCACTGTGATCCCATAACACAAATTGCGTGACGCGACGGCGTGTTACGTTACTGCGCCTACTTTTTACCACGACAATATTATTATAAAAAAACTTAATTTATTATTCAATGATGGGTTTATTATCTAATAAAATATATAAAATTATAATTTTTATTATATTTTTATATTTAATACCAATGCTATGCCACTAAATGAGAGAACTGAGGTTTGCCTAAGGAAATTGACATAGGAAGGATTCTAGATTAGTCAATAGAGAGGTTAAAATAAGATTGGTCAAATAAAAGGCACGTCTCAAGAGTAAAGAAGGAATTTATCTTATTGTTAACTGAATATAATGACAAGTAGCATGAGTTTAATGAATAATACACAACTATATAATTTATTTATAACTTTTATAGATAGTCTATTGTCATATATAAAAAAAAAAGTACAAATAGAAAGCTAATAATAGGAAGATAATAAGTTAAAATAGTCTATATAATATATTAAAATTCTTAAGGACATATAAAATTTATATATAGTTTTAAGATTAATAAAATCAAGTAAAAAAGGAAATAGCAGTTTGTTTAATAAATATTTAGATATTTGTTTAATAAATATCAAAATATTATATTAATAAAATAAAAATTCAATTTTTAAAATAAAAACTCTTTCCCGCAAATCTCAAAATTCCTAAAAATTTCCTTTTTTAGTAATACACCCAAAACACCCAAAGAAAC